TCAATACAGCTTCATACGTCTGTTCTTGCCTTCCAACTTTAACACAGGCAAATCATGAGTGGTAACCTTACTGTACTGCAGGCACTGCAACAAAAGCCAACTGTGAACGAGTATTGATGATGACCGCTTGATTTTTAGAGAAAAACAACAATTCGGAACCTCGTATCCATCTATTTTAATGCAACCGTGCTTTTGTCACTTCATGTATGCGATCGTTTTCAGAGACCTGTGTTTAATATAACACAATGTTTAAATGGAGTAGTTCTGTCTGCCTCGATTACAGCACAGTGGTCAAAAACATAGCAGGCAGAATTTGAAACCAGGCCGCCGGGGTGGGCCATTAGTCTGCTATAAATGTAAGCAGCAGTGTCACACATTTGTCTGCGCGTCCTCAGTATTCACATGAGCCATAAATTCGGCTGTCACATCAATCTGAGGCCAGAATTAATCGTGCAATTAAGATTCTCATTGCTTGGCAGATATAGCCACTAATGGATCAGTGACAAGTGCGATATGATCATAAAGAGGGGTTTTTAATGCACTGTTTAATTGCTCTTATGTGGTCGACAGTGTTACAACAGAGGCTACACAAGCCCATTTGTTCTCCGCAGTCCGCGCTGCTATCTTGGAAGGAAAAATGTGCTGCTGTTGAAGGGTCACGCAACGATGTAAGAGCAGCAACGAGCACCGTTATTATGGTGCTTGAATGCACTGTGTGTGACTCAGAAGTTTGTGGCATTGTTTAACACTTTACCCCTTGAAAGCGTACTAGGAGTTACCTTTGAAGCTCTTTTCTGAACTGAGAGGTTTCTGTCATATATTTCAGGCTTATAGGACAAAATGAGCAGGTTTGCATCAGAAGTCGGTGAGTTCGGAAACTCTAGGAAAAGCCCAGGAACTATTCTACTGGTCTTCGTGTTTTTATTGATATACTCGTCATCAAGGGCACAAAAAAGGTTGTCAAATGTCTTTATGCAGGAAAGAGTTAACATATATTTAGTGCATGGATCACTTTCCGGCAGCAATAGCAACAGGCTAATTCACTTAACTAGAGGCAGGCTGGTTTCAAACCAGTGATTTGTCACTAAACACAGACGGCCCGTGCTAAAGGTCCTCCCAACTCCTTATTTAATAATAAAATGTTGCAGATTATACTCCTCTGCTTTTACTTTGCCGTGTTTGCTCGAAACGACACACAGGCGACACATGAACGAGCTCCGCCACAGGTGACAGGGCGTGGACGGCAGTGCCTCGTTTTTAGACTGCTGCCGTTGCTTGTTGCACAACGAAGCATGACATTTAGCTCGTTGTTATAGGACGAAATAAATGAATGAATACAAAGCAGAAGCCAGGATTACAATATCCACTATGAAGGCAAAGCACTGCTCGCAGCTATAAGCACAAACGGGGCCGCACGCCGGGAGATAAATGGCTACAATAAATAACATCTACTGTGCTATGTGTGGGCTGCGTGTAGTGTAGATGTGTCTTCAAAATGCATTTAACACTGCCGCTTTAGGTTTTTTAAAATGTGCAATCGACCTCTTAACCTTTAAACTCTTCTTCGCATCTCATTCTCTTACTCCATTTCTTAGTTTCTTTATCGAAGACACAAACTTTCTCCACTTCCTTTCACCTCTAATACGAAACAATCAGAAAAAGTTGTGAAGACACAAGCGCTCACAAATAATTCATAAAGCCTTTCTACCTCCAGACGCATAGGGGGCACTAATTCATCTGACTTCCAGCCTTTAATCTCTTGCTCTGAAATCACTGACTCAAACTCCCAGAGCTGTCAAGGCTTTTTTTTCTTCCACCTGCACCTAGTCACTGATCAGAGCCTGCTACTGCGTCTGGAGTTTGTGGTGAACTTTTCTCTCTGTTTCAGCATTTCTTTCCTCTACACTTAAAGGCCACGAGGTTCAAAAGCAAAGAGGTAAAAAAACATGACAACAAAACAAAATGCGAACAGATCCACTATCCTCTAAGACATGCTTAAGGATGAAGGAGGCTTTGTAGAGAAGAACTTGGTGTGTACAAACAAACTTGTTATCGATGAGCCCAGAGTTTAGTCAAGGTTGAAGCACCTTCTTTGATAAAATATATTGTCTCTGTCTGAATATAGTTATTGACATCCCTGGAGAGGAGGAGGGGCAGGAGGAGATGGGTGGAAATAAGCAGCAGTTGTAGCCGCATTGCCCCATTTTTCCTCTATTACCATTTAACCTTTTCTCCTTCCTGCAATTACATATTTATTGAAAGCTATTGAGAGCTCCCGCTACTGCTACTGAAAGCATGTCAAAACACACCCTGACCGTGGTAATTAAAGATGCAATGCGAACATGCTGGGAGAGTAAATTAATTCCTCTGGGGGTGCAAGCAGCACGGGTAGCACACGAGCAAACATCTAAACAAAAGCAGGCACGAAGGGATTTCCGATGCTGACATTAAACGTCAGCAGGCAAATGTCAACTAGACAAAAAGGTCTGGGTTTTTTTTGTTGTTTTGTTTCGTTTTGATTTATATGGCTGTGTGTGTGTGTGTGTGTGTGTGTGTGTGTGTGTGTGTGTGTGTGTGTCACTCATGCTGAAATTAAAAAAAATCATTCAAAGAAAGACAGGAATGACAGCCCACAAACACTCGTCTATAGGTGCGCCGTTATGTGTGCCCTACCAGTGGAGTGTGTAGCAGAAATATATGCACGCACCCATCACCCACCTATCCACAGTGTGTGACAGAGAAGGCAATTACCAGCCACAATTTTCTACCATGCTTTATTTGCAATAACTGTCACCGGCAGAGCCTTGGCCTCCTTATCTGATTTTTATGAACATACTTGTAGGGATTATTGAGATTTGTGAAAGCACTGCTGGGAAATGTGAAACTGTGTGTGTGTGTGTGAGAGAGAGAGAGAGAATTTTTAAAAAAAGGAAAAGTAAGCGAGAGAGTTAATCTGCTATGGAAAGTGATGAAATATTAACCAGCAGTCGCGCACAGCGTGTTGGTCAAGAGATGGAGAAATCAAAAACAAAAAAGAAAAAGGAGATTATTAGACAGGTTTCGCACGATGGATTTTTTTTTCTAATCACATCACGCCTGAGGAGCTGAGAGTGTGTAGCCGTCAACCTCTCATTCCACAACACGAGCCACGGGCAGGCGTGCATTTTTTAAAAAGCCCTCACAGCGTCACTCAGCTGCTGTCAAGGCTGCGTGGATCAGTTTGGCGTCTACCTCCAGTTAGTTTTAAGTATTTAGTGTGTGTGTGTGTGTGTGTGTGTGTGTGTGTGTGTGTGTGTGTGTGTGTGTGTGTGTGTGTGTGTGTGTGTGTGTGTTTTTAAAGAGTCCAGTTGAATGACATCAAGGCTACAGGTTTGATGCTAGCAGTGGCTCCTAGGTGATCCAGAGAGGTGAAACGCACTGCTTTAAAAAAACACCAGCAACTAGAAAAACAAACAAAACACAACAGAAAGAGAAAAAATTCTGCAAAAGCTCACAAAAAAGGAACCCTGAGAAAACAAGAGGAGAGTGAGGGAACAACAGTGATGAGCTAACAGTAAGCGGCTAACAGCAAACATGTATCTACAGTATTACGTCAATCACGAAAAAAGTTTTTTCAAAAAATGGAGGAAACCACATCTTTTTGTCCCTCACGACATCGATCAATCCTCCAGTTCTTTAAGCATCTTGTCATTGTCACATTATTGAGTTATTGAGTTTGACCTCTCAGGGCCACCGTACCTGAGCCATGAGGCAGCATCAAAAGTGCAGCATATTTTATAAACACATGTGAGGCATTTTAAGGCGGTACATGACTTTTTGGGGACTTCCTTAATACCAAGAGAACTTTAACACGTGCTCTTGTGCCAACTTCCTAAAAAAAAAATGAAAGTATAGCTGGTGCGTGGATGGAGAAATAGCATATTAAAAGAGCAGGCTACTGCTTCAAAGGGCCATTATTCCACAGGTTGAACAGCTCCTATTGCGGGGTTAACAGCCAGGGTGCCGGGCTGAGTGCTGTGGTAAGGAGTGAGGCTGGCATCAGCAGCCCCTGGCCTGCCAAGGTGCTGTGACGACTAAGCCTGCTGTCACAGACACAGAGCGCAGGCTGGACGGGGGCAGTAGCCTCGCCATCTGTTGCGCGACAGCCAAAGTCACCCTGTATGTAGACTGTGTGGCTCACTGGGAGGGTGTGTGTTTGAATATGTCCAAAGCTGTATTTGTGTGCACTTAGACACACTTAGGCACATCATTTCAGAGTGCCTGTGTGTGCATATAATGGGTCTGTGTGTCTGCATGTCTGTATGTGCTAAAATGACCATCTGTGTGAGGAGAGGGAAAAAAAAGCATAAGCCACAATTAAAGGAGGGATCTGTACATGGAAAGTCGAATATTTGTCCTAAACCGGCGACTCAGAGTCAACTCAGAGCTCAGAGGCTCATATTTTAGAGAGAAGAAATCCTTAAGTGGACAGCAGCCATCCACTAGCATTAATAATGAGAGCACTGACAGAGTGACACAATAAATAAATGTTAAATTAAAATCAGTGCAGACAACATAATTTTAAAAAATGACAGAAAGATGGAGAAGCTGATGGATTGGTGGAGCAGTTAAGGGAATATTAGTGCAGGCACCATGACAAATCCATACTCTGTACAGGATGTTAGACATTTAGTGACATTTACCAGATTCCTTGAGAGACTTCATTGAATCAAGTAGGATATGCTTTATCAAACTGACAATGGGAGTTTGGCTAATATCCACTGAGAAGTAATAATGGCAACAAGTAAGAGAAATCCTACACTGTCTCAACTAGTTTCTTGTCCTCCCATTCATGTGTCAAATTCGTATTTTTTATTACAGCTATAAAACTATAATTGCAAATAGGCTGAGAAAATCACAGCTTTTCCTGTGCAAGTCCTCTCAAACTCTCTATAAATATCAACATTTACCAAACAGCTGAAATCTAGAAAACGCTTATGAGGTGCTGGCTGGGCACTGACCACTTCTCGGGGCAGCAGGGAGTCCTCTGGGCGAATCACCAACAGGTTCACGGTTCCACCCATGGGTGTAGCTCGGAGCAGGGCTACCACCTCTTCCTGGCTTTTACCATTTAGGTCCACCCCACTAACCTGCACGTACATATACACATACACGGAGTCACGAAGCGTAAAAGAAGACTTACAAAAATAAATGTACAACAGATACACAGTCGGAGGCGAAACTAAACTCACTCTTAAGAGGGGGGACTATGGCCTCCACATAACCTTTATGCAGATTACCCTGTGAGCCAGTTGGAACTGGAATTAAATATGGGTTATTTCCCCCTAAAGGGAGCACTCGCTGATTTCCATGTCAGTCTGACTGAAGTATAATCAAAATATTGTTCCATCTAACCACATTTTCTTAGAAATTCAAAACTGCAGCTGAATTGTTGTAGCCAAAGGGAACGCAGCTTATTCGACTCGCTCCAACAAAGGCTCAGTAAGACTGAATTTAGGAACAAAGTCACATCAGGAAACGAGTAATTTGTCTCTGAAATAACACGCAATCTCACAGAACACACTCGCTGAACACTGTGTCATGGTTAGAGGATGTCTGATGTCCTGCCTCACCTCCAGCAGCCGGTCTCCAGCTTTAAGTCGACCGTCTTGGATGGCGGCGCCTTGAGGAAGGATGTTTTTAACGTAAATTGGAGCACTGCCGCCAATCGGGACATCTCTGGATGTGATGCTGAATCCGAGACCCTCTGGACCTAGTTAACAATTGAAGACACTTAGAAAGGTATTGTGACATTTTACAAAGCACAGCTCATCACTTGTTCTTTTCTTTCCTGGTGCAAACATGCCATGCTGTGATGTTGTCATTTGGTAAGCTTGCCAGCAGTGTGCTCATGATCGGCAGTAAACTGAAAAACTGTTTGTCTGTTGTCATTTTCTATTATCCTTAAAACAGACTGCTCAATAAAATTTAAAGGAACCCTTTCTAATCTGAGCAAAGCACCAAGTCAGTTAAACTTGAGGGATATTGATTTGATCAGTTAAGTAGCAGAGGCGGGGCAATGAGACAGCCCCCTAAACAAGAATGGTTTGCAGGTGGAGGCCACTCACATGTTTCCCTCCTCATTAGTTTTGCATTTGGCTAGAGTCAGTGTCACTACTGGCAGCATGACGTGATAGCTGGACCCTGTGGAGGTTGCACAGGTAGTCTAACTTCTCCAGGATGGCACATCAATGTGTGCCATTGCCAGAATTTTTGGTCACGTCAGCATTGTCAGGCATATATGTAAGAACACGGGGGCCACACAAACTACTGAGTACCATCTTGAATTGCTACGATCAAATTTCAGTAAAATGGTCAAGACCAGTGGTCTCCAACCTTTTTAGCGCCACGGACCGATTTTTCACGAACCGGCCTTTAAGGTGTTGCGGATAAATACAACAAAATAAAACCAGTACAGGTACCAAAAATGGGATTTATTCATAACACACGGGAAAAGATTCAGGGAAACCAAGTTAACGATAAAAACGATTAAAAAAATAACAACAAAAACCCTGAAAACCATAAATTTCACACCCGAGCCTCAACTGCACCCTGGTACCAAACAACTCATGGACCGGTACCGGTGCGTGGCCCGGGGCTTGGGGGTTTAAATGTCACTAAGGAGCAATTTATTTATGACAGCGACATTTTCTATTTCTGGGTTTCATTTTAAAAGTACAGAAACATACAAAGTGTATTCTGTGTATAAATACTGCTAAGGGCATACAACTTTTCCCCCCATTATTAAAAAAAGTAACTTTTAATCCACTAAGCAGGAATCAAATGATGGCCTTCCACCATGTCCTGAACCTCCACGAGGTAATACAGACATTCCTGCTTCCATTTTTTCATATTTCCATGATTGGGTGTGTCTTGAACTCTAAACATAGTATCAGTGCTATGAACCAAAATTGAGTGTTTTAAATGAATGTGAACGGACTTTAAAGCCAATCGTGGAAGTCGCGGTCAGATTAAAGACCAGTTAAGAATAAGCAGAGACAAATGAATGATTATGGATTGGGAAATGCATTAAAACTCTGTTCAATATCCTCTTAAACTAAAGTGCAGGACACCTAAATAGTTAAAGTGCTTATTTCTGAATCTTCCCACACTGCACCGTGTGCCAGATTTTAAACCCAAAAAAAACCCTCCAGAGTTTTGGTGCAAAGGCAGGCCACAAAGGCTGTGTAAAAATCATGTCTGGGTCAAAGCAGTCTTGGATGATATATAGGGAGCTTGAGGTTAGCCTAATGGAGAAAGCAGTGATCACTGTGTGTGCACTCAAATTTGTTTCTTAGCTTTGTATATTTAAAGGAAAATCCTCTGTCTCTTCCAAGTGCAGTGAAATTCAACAACCACATGTGATAAAAACACTTCGGGCATTAGCTTTGCAAAGCCATTTGCTTTAAGTTTAAGGGTTGACCTTTAAGGTTGCTCAAACGAATATGAATTGATAGTCTAAGAGGAATCAGGCAAATACAATAACAGGTAAATAAGAAGATCTCTCCGCTCTAACCTTTTCTGCTGACCAGAGCTGTATTTTTCAGATAAAAGCATGACGTAGTTCAAATGTCAGCTACATGTGATAAACCGTGCAAAAGCTGCGTGTCAGATTAAACTAGATGAGTCATTAAGAACGTCTTTCAGAGCGGCGGTTAAGATTCCACCATGCATAACCTAGCTGTAGGCATTTCCAAGTTGGAAAGTCGTGTTCTGCGGTTTTAGCCGAGGCTTTTCTGACGCTAACAGCGGTGATTAGCATTCGTGTCAAAGTAGCTGCTCATTTCACAGAGCTGTCAGCACCTCTGATGGTTCATCATGACCTACTTTTCCCTGTATGTCTATTTAGCAGTCTGTCGTCTCCCTGACAGTGATGCCGCTGATGAACAAGGGGCATTAAGATTGAGGAGCGCGGCTGGCAACTTTCTCCTGGCTTCCACGCACAAATAAACTTGCAGAAAGGTGATGAAGAGATCACTTTGAAGCCAGAAAGTTGAGCTGCTGAGGATAACGACGTTCTATGATCTGTCCATCACTGCTGAGCGAGAAGTGAGCAGACAAAAATAGCTGTCATCGTTTATGTTGAATATTAAATGCGCAGTTTGACTGCCAAACTTTTAAATACCAGATCCCACAGTTGCCGTGGGAGGTTCTCCACTTAGTGCAGATGCTAGTCTGTCCTCAAACGACTGAAAATAAGAGGGGTAAACAAATGCAGATGGCATTTAACACAGATGTATCACAGCTTTTGATTATATCCTGCCTTTTTTCAAATCCTCGCCATGGCAGTTGGGATTCCCCTTCCCCTCTGACCCTTTTCACAAACTGCCGCCCAACACGCATCCCAAACCCAACTCAGGCCCATTATAAGATCCCGCTGTTCAAAGTCTACAATCAGCCAATTAGGAGAATACAATCTCTAAATATTCCTGTGCTAATTAACCACTGATGTATTTATTTTAGGTACCAGACCAGGCCGGGGTAAAAGTAATTGTGTCCCTTTCTGGATTAGCTGAAATCCTGGCTCCAATAAGCCAATTAAGCAGCAAACATGAAGAGAGGCTGAGGCACATTAGAATGACTTAATGGGGTGCGTATGTCCTTTTCGACAGCAGTATTTGATTAAGGCACTCTTGTTAATTTGCCATTCAGGATCTGCTCCTGCCACTTGGAACTCTGAGCCACTTAGGCTGAATCACAACAATTACAATGAGCAGACAACAAAACCGCCGAAGCCCTTCTAGAAGTGCATTAGCGTGATGGCAATCAAACGGAACCGTCAAAATGGATTTCAGAGGCGCGTTTCCCTCAACTCAGCCTTTTCCTAATGCTCCGTTAAATTCCCAGTTTAACAACATTTGGACATCTCCATCTGGAGTTCACAAACGGCTTCGAAGTTATGTGCCGGTAAACTCCCACTGAAATCACAGGCTTTGAAACCATTTCTGTTACTTGGGCAATACTGAAATATTTCATAGTGACCATGAAGCCATGCAGCTGGTGGATATAAGCTAAACTGAAGGCGTCAGCCTGGTGCTGGAGTTCTACCAACATCTTTCCGGAAATTAGAGTCGTGTGGGGAAACTTTATCACGTTATAAACACATAAATATAAGTTACACTTCAGCTCCACAGTGTCAAAGAACTCTGCCGGCAGCGCTGGGAAACTTTGCCAAACATGTTAGAGCAGCTTGTGACTGCATGTCCCCAGAGTGGGTCACGTTTACCCCGTGCCGCAGCCCTCACTTTTTCCCGCACCCTTCCCTGAAGCTCATCGCTAAGGCCTCGGTGCCAGCTTTCAAGTAAACATCTGCTCCGGCAACCGAAACAAAAAGGAGCAAAAAAGAAATCGACGGAGTCAGGACATCGCCTTAGAACTACTTCACTCTGCTTCCTACTGTTTGCTAATTCACATGAAGATGGCTAACTGGTGGAAATGACACGGCTTGGCAGCGAAGCCACCACAAAGAAATACAACTGCTCCGGTATCAAAGGTCTGTCCAAGTCCACAAATAAACCCAGCTCAGCTGGAAGCAGATGGATTGCCGAAGCTTAACCACAAGACCGCGGTGATGTACTGTAGCATGAACGGATGAAACCACAACCTGTTTTCAAGACGGGGCTGATCTGTGTTTGCTTTCGGCCTTCTCGGTTAAACAAAGCGCAAAGGCAAGAGGAGATTTTTTTTATTTCCAGAAGGGTTTCGGTTGCATTAAGAGCTCTTTGACCTTTTGTTTACTCTGGAGTTTTTAAATGCTAGAAGGTGACAAGATATCGCCTTTATCGCACTTAGTAACGGGGTTGATAGACATAGAAGCAAACAAAGAGATTATTGGTCAAATTAATGAAACACTTTAACGCTGTCACATGAGCTGCTTTAGGATCAGCATCTTTCGTGTCTAACTGCAAACTTTCAGTGCATTTAAATGTTTAAATGCAGAAGCCTGTCTTGTGAAGAATATACTCTTTGATGCTGGAGTTTTATCAGATATACAGGGCTCTTCCCCGGCTTTCTGCTGATAAAGAGCGGAGGCCGATGTAATCTGCCAGTGGACAGGCTGACAGAAATTTTGGCAGAAGCAATTCTGAACTAAAAAAAAGCCACTTTTTAAAATTTTCCCATGGTTAGAAGCAAGGTCAACCCACTGTTAAGCCTTCCCCAAGAATTTTCCCACTACTTGCTTTGAAACATACGATTATCACACATATCTCACTTAATAACACAAAAATGTCTAAAAAGCAGATCAAACATGGCGGGCTCATGTCACCATATGATGTCAGCACACATAAATTGCAAACATGATTCTGCTGGTTTTCACTCCTACAGCACTGACCTCGTTTTGCTACTCTCACCTTTCTTCAGTTGGACGTTGAACCTGCGACCTTTGTTCTTTAGGTCGATGGTTCTGGGGGCGTTTGAGCTTATCCTGCGCTGCAGGGAGGGCGAAGGGGCTGACGGGGTCCTGGAGATCAAAATGTGGGGTGGAGTGGCAAAGCGTCTACTCGAGTCTGGGGTGCTCTCTGCCAGTGAGCCATGGTGGCTGCAGAGACAAGGGTTCAGAGTCGTTACATGAAATATAGATTCATCGTCAGGCTCCTGTAATGTAATGTATAACGCACAGTAATGACTTTTCACCATTAAATAATAACTGTATTTGTAGCAAGAACCTTTTCACTGTCACAGACGGAGGATTGATCGTTCTGTATAACTGACATTATGACCACAAACACAAACCCACATCTTTGTCTTTCTGGAACTAGGCCAGAGTTTTTACAACAATTAACAGAAACCACAGGCAGATAAAACAGGCTTTTGACAAGATGATCACCGATGCAGACTCAGAGGTCTAAGGTACAAATTACAATTAGGCTGCTCTCTTGTCTTTTTTTTTTTGCGTAGCTTTTAAACTCTGACGGATTTCCAGTGAAAGTCTCTGACTGCTGCAATTACAACAGCACTCCCTTTCACACACATCAAATCTGTGGCAGCTTTTTAATTTTTCTTTTTTTCTTTGATTTATTGATTTTTCTTTGTTTCATGTATGAGAACAGTGTGAAGGTATCTTTGGTAGAAAAAAAAACTATTCGGTAACCATTCAATAAAAGAAAAGGGAGGTGAAACCCACTTGTGATTGAGGCCCGGTGGTTGTCCCGATCTGGGCGTCAGCGGCCCGGTCAGACTGGACCTGTCTGCTGGCTGTTGAGACTCCTGGCTGAAACGAACCCTGTTCAGCTGAGGTGGGCTGCTCAGCTCCTTCTGTGCTGACAGCAGCTCATATTGCTTCTTCATGGCTGCAGGGACCACGTGGAAAAGGATGACCTGGGAACGCATCGCCTGCTTGAAAATGTTCTGTGCTCTGAAGGTGAAACAACATAGAGCGAGGGAGAGAGCGGTAAGGTCACACCGACAGAAATGAATTAGCTTTAAACATGATAAGAGATGCATGTACAATGATGTAGCACCAAAGCTTGGCAGATACAGAAGGATAAGGAAAGCCATGATGCACTGTATGTTGAAAGGAGATACAGAGAGTTGAGACCTGCGCGGCTAATCGCAGGACTACTTCCTGCAATGCATTATGGGACAGAAATTACATTATCTATAATTACAAGCATCAAGACGGGTAAGAGATAAGGACAGTAAGTGGTGCATCAGTCATAAAATATTACTGCGTGTGATATAGGTTAAATCTCTATACTATGCGCTCATTTGTGTGTTTGTGTGAGTCTGTTCATGGTTGGAGATAAATGGTTATGAGTTGACTCAACAATCAGAACAGAGGTGATGAATCATGCACCAGGGAAGCTTTACAGATGATGAGTTCCCGAGTAAGCAGACACACACACAGAATTCATTCCTTAAACACAAAATGGGGCGGGAACACACAAACACACCGAGTCTCGTATGAGTTTGGGGGAGGCCAAATATGCCGAGACAAGAGCTCGCCATCATTCCCAGACACAAGAATTGTTTAGTCTGGTTTGCCAGCAGCACTTAGCATATAGATAGGCTGGCCAGGAGTGAGGCACACTGCAGCATAAGGGGGCCAGAGGCACAGTGGATGTCTGGATTCCAGCAATCCCATGTTCTTTTTCCAGCCCCCTCCCCATTACCAGCAATACCATGCTGATTCTGTCCCAATGACAGCCGCTAAGCCGCTTCCGTCGCAAACAGACAGCACTCCACGCAAGCCGCGTCGCAGAGGCGAACGCACACTGAGCTACTTCTGCGAGATTTGCTCTCTCCTGTTTTCATTCTTATGGTAATTTGCGAGAATCACTCGCATATGCGCACTGCAGGGTGATGACAGGCTGGGGCGAAGTTTGTGCGCGTGCATGCGTGCTTTGTACGCAAATGTTCCCGTGCACATACGCGCTGCCATCACTCCAGCAATCAGCCTCTGCGCGAGCCTGATTGAATAATAAATTACCCCCATCAATGCATCATTACATTCAGTTAGATTAAGCGCTTCAAAATATTTACCCATGCAAAACAATCCAAGAAGATTAGACTATCACTTTAAATTGTCACTCTCTGTGGCACACAATCAACGATGGGTGGGGGTGGGGTTAAAGTTTTGCTCCTTCGCCTCATTTTTATGCAACCCCCCCCCCCCCCGAAAAACCATCACAAACATCATAAGCGTGCAGATGCCGGTGAGGAGGGTGTGTTTGGAAGGAGAGGCTACAAAACATCACTCCCTTGTGGATTTGGTGGGTAAGCTTCTTTCACAGCAGAAAAGAAAAAAAAGCTGTGAAAGAAACTGCGATGTTTACTAATGACAATAGCTTCGTTTTAAAGGATTCTGAAACCTTAGTGTGTTTGTATGCAGGGTGATAAACAGATTAGCACAGTGTCTCCAACTGCTTCCATTTAACAAGATGCTGGAGAGCTTTTGCTATCACGCCTTTCTTAAGAAACATTCCTACAGTGATACAGTTGTTCAGAGATAATTCATAGCTACTGACTTCACTTTTGAAGGCTAAACTTTTTGTCATTTTTGCAGCATTGTGGTTCGAAGCCCACTGTTTTTAGATGTGCAGGCCCGGTGCGACTGTTGTCTGGGCCTTTGGTAGCAAAAATCTGGGCTATTTCTTTCTGTGGAGAGCTGAACAGACCACTTTATACTGTGCCTCGATTTTTCAGCCTCGAGGAGAAGAAATCCATTTAATACTGGTGCACGCACACATACACAAATGCAGAAATGCCTTTGTATGTCAGTATCACCGCATATATGTGTCCGCGTCCGTGCTGCGTGAGATGCCACACATTCACGCTTATATTTACGAGTGTTTAAAGAGACAAAGGTTATGACGCGTTGGCAGAAATGAATGGAGAGAAGAGTGTGGATAGTTTGGGATCAGAAAGCAGCACAGCTGTGAAGGACTGCAGGTCACTGAGACCTATTACAGGAAGGCCAACAAGTCGGTCATATTTCTGTTTTATTGTGCGGCTGTGTGGGTGTCATGTCTCCCCGCAGTTTGGATTCCGCTTATCAACAGCAACACTATTTACTGTCGCTGCGCTTAATGTCCAACACAGTGCTTTCGGTGTGAACTGCATCACTCGGCAGACAGTGCTTCCCTACTATCGGAGGAAAAGGAAAGTAAATTAAAATCAGCATGGCATCCAGTGACAAGAAGAGAGGTTACCAGAAGGAGAAAATGTCAGCTGACAAAAATAGCTGTGTTCAGAATAATACTGCATGCAAAAAAAAATGTTCCAAGCGTCACTATGGAAAGCTTACTGTTCAAAGCGCAGGTTGCGAATGTCTCCCTGATTAATTCTGACGATGCAGTCGTTCTCCTGGAAGAGACGCTCCTGCTCTGCTTTGCCTCCGGGCTCCAAACGCTTCACTAGCAAGCCCTGTGTCCTGCAAAGGTTCATGCAACAGGTAAGTCATAACACAAGACTTAGGCAACTGCTGTCACAATGAAATTGCACGTGTACTTTTAAAAGTTAATGAAAAGGTAGTGAAAGAAACCTAATCAGAATGGATGGAGTGGAGACAAGAAGAGAGTGTGGAAGAAGGTACAGACAAAGACACATTTAGGGTTTGAGGTATCACTTGAGAAAGCATCATGCTAAAAACAAGTGTTATTGCTATGTTTAGAAAAAGAAATGAAAGGTGTAGAACCCAAAGAACATCATCCACACAGTGAAGCTTGGTGGTGGGAGTTTTATGCTGTGGAGATGCTTCAGTGTGTCTGGAACTGTGACTCTTGTCACGATGAACAAAGTCATGAAAAGAGAAGGACGTGAAGACCTTGAAAGAAAACCTCAAGCAGTCAGCATCAAAACTGCGTCTGGGTCACCTCTTTAAACGGTAAATGGACTGATTCTTATATAGCGCTTTTCTACTCTCCCCGAGTACTCAAAGCGCTCTATACAACATGCCAATCACACCCATTCTCACAAGCACTGACCCAAAACCGAATGCTTCTCTAACAACATTCACACACGTTCACACTCCGATGGATGCATCGGAGAGCAACTTGGGGTTAGTATCTTGCCCAAGGATACATGGCATGCAAACTGGAGGAGCCGGGGATCGAACCACCAACCCGATCAGTAGGTGACCTGCTCTACCTCTTGAGCTACAGCCACCCCTTTATCTTCCAACATGACAACATCCCAAATAATGCCTCACTCCTGCTGAAGAGCTACCTCCAGAAGACCCAAGTGACTGCTGATGACTCGCCTGCATTAAACCCTGACTTGAATCCCATTGAAAATCTGTGGGGTGAACTGAAGACCTATGTATATGCCAGAAGACCATCAAATCTGGCCAATTTTTCCAAAGAAGAATGGGCTAGGATTGCTTGGGAGACATGTGTGAGACTTCCTAGACTACAACAAATGACTGCAGGCTGTTATCCATCAAACCGGATGCAAAATTGACCACTTCCATTATCCTAAAACTAGGATGTTTTAGAAAAGCTGTGCGAAAATCTCTTGCTCTGTTTTGAAGCACTTGAGAAAAGAGATTTTCATAGAGGAGGGGCTAACGAGTCTGTCCTCATCTGTATGAAGTGAAGCTTTTTGTAGTGCAGCATTGACATTGGTTGTCATTTTATGGCCTGGAGATTTATAACTTTTGCATCAACAGAGTGCCTAAAATATTCAAGTCTCCAACAGAGTTGGGGAAGTAAATAAGATTACAAAATGAGTTTAGCCCATTGTAATGCACTCAGTCAACAAAAGTTAACTTTGCAGACTAGGCTTGGATAGAGTCCTGAATTTCCCTGCACTCATTTTAAGCCTCCGTCTGTCCTTCTGTTCTCCTTTCCTCTTTTTCTTCCTGTGGGCAGGTCTGAAAGAATGACAGGGTGGGTTGAAATAATCCAGACCAACAGCTAAGAGATCATCTTATGGCTTCCAGGGAAGTGCTACAGTCGCCTTCATTGGAGCTTAAGACTAGAGCCGGCTGCGGTGTTTGAGAAAGAAAAAAACCCCCAAGAAGTTCCACGGCTGTGCCATCTCAGTAATCCTTAAAAAAAACGCCAACCTTTACCTTCAAATATCCCTCCGCCCTCCTTCCCCCTCTAAATAACTACATCAGTGAGCTCCTTGAAGGCTTTAGTTAGGCCTCGAGGATAACCACATGCAAAGATATCTGATGGATGCTCACACAGCAGAGCTACAAACTCTGGCTACAAGCTGCAAGATGCCTCTGAGATAGCAGGTAAACTGACTTTAAATGTTTGGTGTCCTTGCATAAACTGACAAAAAAGTTTGGAGGCTTATTTTGAAGAAATTCTGAAATCTACCGGAGCAAAAACCATCAACAAGCTAAACAAAGATGTACCAGACAGGGGTATAAATTAGACCCTAAGCTACACCTTATTGGTGTCAAGGACATAAGTGTCATGCTTCTCATAATTCTCCCTTCCTGTCTCTTTTCCTGGACGCATAAACAGCAGCACATTCAAAACTGTTGTGACCCTGTTTACTGCAGACGTCAAGGGCAGGCTCGCGCAGCTCTTTAGCATTTCAGCCAAACAGGGCCACTCTCAGAACATTGCTTTAATTGGCTGCATAATGTGGACATTCACGCTCGCGCCGAAGACTCATCTCAGCCACTCAGCGGGGGTAAATGGGTCGGCATTAAGTTGAAATTAAAGATCACAAAAGGCCCTTCCCTCTTTCTTGGTGTCTGAGTTGCCAGGTCAGGTTAAATGTGTTGAGCAGAGAGTAATTGCGGCCGGCGTGGAAGCAGACATGATTGTGCTTTATCTCCATAAGTGTTGGCAGCTTGAAAACAAAGTATTGCGCACGGAGATTACATCACGGACACACGCTAATGACTTCTGATTTGCTAGCAGACTGGAGACGGTACAGTAGATAAAGGAGTTTTTGGTTGATCCCTGATCAGTATTCAAGCCGCGGCAGAGCGGACTGGGGATAAAGCGGCATCGTTTAGAGATTTAAAGAAGATGATGATTTCGTGAAAAGCACTATTATTGTGTTGGCTATAATCCCATCCTCTCAAACTGATGGAGGTTCGCTTCTGTTTTTTTTTAGAGATACTTGTCAGTTACTCGTAAAGAACTAAAGAAAAATCTAAAAGTCACTCTCAAAGGCTGCAATTCATTAGGTGGCAGATGTAAGCAAAAAGGGATTTGTAGTTTGTGGATTCTCTGCAGCCTCTCGGGGGGAAAAAGAAAGACTCTTTAAGTCTCGCTTCTCCTCGAAAAAAGGAATCAGCATCTTACCGCACCATATGGCTTTACTCCATCTTGTGGCTGGGTAGCAGTGCTGATTTGGAGGAGGCCACCTGCTCTCATCTACTGCCTTTAATCAAATAATAATCCAATCAGGATCCATTTATGCATGGCAATTATGTCCGCAGTTTGTTTACAATTGAAGACGGTCATGGAATGAGAAGTTCATTAAACTAGGAACGCATCTGGAAGGGGGCGTGCGTGCGTGCGTAGATGTACGGGATATTTATGTGTGCACGTTGCTCTCAAGGTAGGTAAGTGACGATGCACCGAGAACTGTTTTTGCTTGTAAAAGGAGTCTGAGAGGGAACACACTTCTCAAGGTCGGTCCGAACTGCTCACAAACTGCATTAGTGTGAGCTCATTTTCAGGTAAGTATCTGTGCATTTCAGTGTGTGTGTGTGGCAGAGAAAGATTCTTCCTGCTAGAGTGGCAGAGTATCTAAGCTCTCTCCTACAGTTGTCTCCCCCTCCTGCTTGGATCTGACTTGATGTCAGTGCAGTGGAGCAGAATACTGGGGCAGCCTGATGCTGGAGTGCCTGCAGTTCCTTGTTTGCTGTCTGGTTTTGCTGGCAGTCTGACCCCTCTGGCCCTGGTCTAGACACTAATGACAGCCCGCTGAGCCTAATGCCTCCTGTCCCAGTGCACGACGCGCAGAAAGAGCTCGGACAGGCCATTAGCATCATCCCACTGACCAGACAATAAGTTTTATCATGGCTGAAGTTAATTGAAGGCTGTGATAGCTATTAGTGCCGACCTTAGCTGATGGGGAAGAAATTTACTGCCGGCGCAGCGTTAATGTTGTTTCCTCCAAGATGCTGTCTGATTTAGGGGCAATACAGGGGAGCTTAAGGACAGCAGTGCATCTAATGAGAGCTGAACTGCTTAAGTTCCTTTAGAAATCGTTCCCTCCGTTAGGCTCACCTCATCCTGAATCACTATTTTGCAGTTCTGACTCAAGGTGTCAAGATGGAGTTAGTTCGAGGTCAGAGCTAAATATAGTTTCCTGACACTTGCTTATAAACAGCAATGAGATTAGTGTCTGAGCCACCTTCAATGACACCACTCCCCTTTCTCCTCCTCTCCCCCTTCAAATGTCATTCCGTTTGATCTCCTCATTCCGTCTTCCACCTCATCCCTGACTTTCCTTCTCCAGTGCTGAGTAGTCACATTCACCTTGGTGGCGAGCCAGTTCCTTCTGGCATGCAGCAGGGATCTGTGTTATACACAAGCTTTTAGTTTGATTACATCTAACCGCTTCCTCTGTCCCCCCTTTTTTCCTTTCTTTTTTTTGAAACTCAGACGCCTCTCGTTCCCTTGTCATCGACACTCCTATCAGTTAAAAAGACAGAAAAAAAAAGGCGAGAGGAAGTAGTCCAAAGCAAGTTTCAAGACAACACGTGCACAACGATGACCGACAACCCAGTTAGAAAAAGTATTTGCAAGACCTGGAGAAAACTGTGCAGTCGAGAGCAAAAACTACTTTCATCCATTCGCCTCACCACTGGGAGCTTCAAAGCTGTGGGATGTGAGCGGTGCTGAGTTTGGGTGTGGCGTTTCAACAGCGAGGCTCACAATAATAAAAAAAGATGACTGCAAGAATCAGAGGCAGTTAAAAAAAAGAAGAAGAAGAAGAAGAGCCTTGAGCAACACATAAAAAGAGATATGTAAGACAGAACAAAGGACAGAGAGAGTAAGAAAAAATTAGTGAAATAATGAGTGAGAGCGAAAAGAAAGCAACACTGGATGGTGAAACTGAGATGCACTGAATTTCAGCTTGTGTCTGTTTTGTTTTTTTACCTGATATCATGTGAACTGAAAGGCACTACGTGGATCCCCAGGGGCCCACCTTCATTGGACACCTCGACGGGCTTGAGCATGCTTCTGCGGGATGGTGATGGATGAAGCCAGAAAGAAGAGGAGAAGGGAGTAGGAGAGAGGTGTATGAATAATAATGATAATTAAAAAATAACAGAAGTGAAAACAACATGTAGAAATGCAGAATGTAAACAGACGGCACAGTCAAACACGACATGAGGTCAGTGGGATGCGCAGGAGTGGGGGCGTGAGGGAGTGGGGTCCTTATTGATGGGAGGCCTCGCTGAGTTGCCTGTGCTAAGTCATCCGTTACAATGCGCAACTGGTGGACCTCAGGGTCGATTAAGGATCCAAATGGAGGCTCCAATTAAGTGATTAAGATCAGACTGCTGTTGCGCTAAAAGAACTAATTAATTGAAAACATATAAGAGAACGGGGGCGGGGGAGGGAAGGGAGGAAGGCTCATTTGTTCCGATAAGGACGTGAAGACAAATCAACACGACCCAGATACGCGTGACGATGTTTACAGACTGAGGCTTTGGTCTCGATGTTTGGGTTGTTACTGGCACATGGTCGTAAAGTGGGCGGCGAAACAAGAAATTGGTACGCAGCCATTACAATAATCGTGATTAACTGTAATTGTACAATTTCACTCTTAACATGGCGTATGGGTGGGGTTGTGGTGTTAGCGGTATGCCACTCACTCTATATGAAACACTGGTGAATGTTCCAGTGAGGAATCGGCCCTTCCTACTGGCTCCGTCCGCTCGATTCTCCTCTCGTGTCTCCTTTGCTCCTCTTCCTCATCCTCCTCCTAATAGAAAGAGAGACAAAGAAAAAAAAGACAGGATGAATTGGATGAGTGCTTCAACAGCAAAAAAGAAAAACCCCTCAAATTCTGTCATTATTACTTTCGCTGTGCTTGCATCTCGCCCTCTCTTGCTTATATCTCTCTTCTCCAGCTTTTAATTTAATTACCTGAAGAAAAAAATGTATCAGCCTGTTTTAAATCAAAGACTCTTGAGCACAGGCGGGACCGTGCCCCTGATGCTGCTGCAGAAACCATCCCTCTCTAGCCAAAAAAATGTTCAGTGGTGTCGTGATTAAATGCAGCGACTCCATCGGTTTGCCTGACCAATGAGGTGGGCCCGTGAGGTGATGAGATCAAGGTTTAGAGCTAAAGAAACAGGGATGCTCCTGTCTGAGCTCCATCTGCGTCTTTCACTCTCCTCGTTTCATTTGCTCATCTTTCTTCAGTGCTGTTAGGCAGCGGAGCAGGAGAGGCAGTGCCTTTAACGGGAAAGCAGACATCCGAGGACTTAACTAAGCTCTGGGAAAGAGGCAGCAGCTTCATGCTCTCCTTAATGGAGGATAAAATCTTCATTTGGCTCTCTTTATGTGGATGGTACAAATTCAGCGGGCCACTTACACACAGTGATTACATCCCGCATGTAGAACAGGAGGGAGACATATCTAATAACACAGTGTTGATTTTCATGTAATTGTCAACCCAAGATTAGTTGGAGGGCTCGTCATCAAGTGTTGAGCACAGTGAAGTCTTTTGTTTGGTTGTTTTAAATAACGGGACTTTCTTTTTCAGTCCTGTTATTAACGGCTGGTCCTCGTGCATGTGCGCGTGCGTGAGCTTGTCAGCATCAAGACAGCGCATCGGCTCCTTGGGAGGATCTGCCGAAATGCTTTGTTAGCCACTGCTATTTCCCCACCCTCACCCTTCACCTTCCTCTTTCTCTCTTTTTTACTAAAATGTCAAGCACATCCAAATAGGTCTTGCGCATTCTTGGTTTCTTTATGGAAATTGATTCAACCCTTTTCAGGGGCAGGGATATCTTTGGTGGCACTCACTCTGCTATACAGAGGCCCCGTCGCCTATTTATTTGTTAGACTCTGGGGGAGGGTTAAGGTGGGATAGGGGCATGAAAATTTCATCAGCAGCCCACCTTTAAAGACCTTGTCGCACCCTACCTGTCTATTTCCCCCTTTTCTATGAAAATGAATAAATCACCCCCCACCACCACCACCCTCCACGCCTTTAATTACACGTCAGCCGAGGTGCCGGGTGTCTCACGGGGCCTTTTATTCATAAAGCTTTTTTATGAACTCAAGCCCACCCCCCTCCCATCCTTCCCCAGGTGGACGGCTAGATTTTTTTTTTCTCTTTGACGTATACTCTGCACAAAGGACCTGACCACCTGTGGCAAACTATAAATAAAGATGGGAGGCCATGGGGTAGAGCGGGCGGCTGAAATTGGACAAGAATAAATACAGGTTTAGATCTCTGCTACAAGGCAAGACTGATGGAGAGGCAAAGAAACGTGTGGCCTTTCAGAAAAAGACAGTTTTCACACTCGGTGAGCAGATGACTGTGAAAGGTGACAGTGCTCAACAAGTTTGCGTTGTTAACCGAAGTCGCAAGTGTATCATCGCTAACACGTAATTAATTTGCATTTAAAAAAGCTGTTAGCAACAATCCCCTGCCTGTTCGTTCGATCTTATAAGTTGCAAACCCTTATGGTGAGACTACGTAAGACTATGTAAAGGAAAGACTAGAGAGATCTTTTGAATTAAGATAAGATAAGATAGAACTTTATTAATCCCTCGGGTGGGTTCCTCTGGGAAATTCGACTTCCAAAAAAAGCACAGCAACGACCGAAGTTACAGTTACAGAATTGTTATATATATATATATATATATATATAT